AAAAAAAAAAAAAAAAAAGGTGTACTGTGTGGCAGATGACTGTGCCCAACTGTAGGCTGATGTGAGTTCTGAGTGTATTTATGGTAGGCTAGGCTAGGCTATGCTGTTTGCTATGTTAGGTGTACTTTTAAACTTATGATGGGTTTATTGGGACATAACCCTATCCTAAGTTGAGGAGCAGCTGTATTCACATAAGTGACTGTACTAGTCAGAGGGCCCAGGAGACCAAGGATCCTCCAAATAACTAGATCTCCGAAGCCTAAGATCTCCATGAGCAAGAGACAGGAAATTAGAAGCTTTGAGGAGAACAGACATCACTACAAATGACTTTTGGCTCCCTTATTTACATTTTGTCAGTTCGTCCTTCAAGTCTAGAAAAATTTTTCTGAGTAATTTCTTAAGTATAGAAATTGAAGGAGACATATCATCAAATAATAAGGATTCGCTAAAAAATAGCAAATGGCAAGGGCAACTCTTGATGCTTTTTCTAGAGAAATGAACAACGAAGACAAGGAAGGTAGTTTTCAACTAGGACAGTGAATAAATAGAGTACCTTGCCCGTTTCCTAACTGTGCCTTAGAACATATATATAAAAAAAATACACTCCTCTAGTATATAGATAAATAAACTGTAGTACATCCAGACAATAGAAGATTATTCAGCTCTGAAAAGAAATGAGCTATCAAGCCATGAAAAGACATGGAGGCAACTTAAATGCCTATTACTAAGTTTAAGAAGCTAGACTGAAAAGGCTACGTACTGTATGATCCCACTAAGATGTTCTGGAAAAGGTAAAACTATGGAGACAGTAGAAAAGCTCAGGGGTTAGACGGGAGGAGGGATGCAGAGGCAGAATACAGTGGGTTTTGAGGGCAGTGTAACTATGTACAATATAGTAACACTGAAGACATGTCATTAGACATTTGTCAAAACCCACAGAATATACAATGCCACGTGTAAACTAAGGACTTTGGGTGATGATAACCCGTCAATGTAGGTCCATGAATTGTCAGGAATGGACCACTCTGGGGGAAAAAGGGATATCCATAACGGGAGAAATGTGTGTATGTGTCTGTGAGGGGGTGGTATAATGAGAACTCTCTGAACTTTTTACTCAGTTTTGCTGTGAACCTGAAACTGCTCTAAAAAGTAAAGTTTTCTTTTTAAAGTAAAACTAAAAAAAAAAAAAAAGATATACATCTTTCACATGAAGTAAAATGAAGAGTGGAATGTAAGACTTGCATGAATACCTATACCATAAAGAGTTCACAAGCACACTTCAAGCATTTTAAATGAAATAACATTTGCAGGGAAATAGAGTGATAGAGTTTTATTGGTTTTACAAAAGCTTTTAAGAGGACATTACAGTCATCTATTCATAAAAAAGAGAAAACAGTTGGAGAAATATTGGGAAATTAGAATATGCCTCTCTGACCTTTCATATGGTAGGTTATGTTAATTAAATAAATAGATTAAGAATTTTATGATACAAGGTTCATTTCCAATGTGTTAAGCATTAGAAATGTTATTAGAACTTTGATTCATTTACCCCGGGATTTCTATGTACATTATGAAGTTCAAATTGGTTCTAAAGATAATATTTTATATGATGAAAAAAGACTTGACAGTGAATATATTTCTGATTAAATTCCCATTTTTCTGCATAACAGAAATAGAAATTAATATGAAAAAAGGAAATAAAGCTGACTAATGTAAAAAAAAAAAAAAAAGAGCCCTTAAACAGGGATACATTGATAACTGATACTACGTAAAAATTAGATTTTTAGGACATGAGGGAAAATCATCTAGAAATCACCAAGCTGACCTGTGACTAAATGGGAATAAGCTGGGACAGAAGAGAACACAGTGACCTACACAGGAACACAAAGCCACCTGCAGGTAAAACCATGGCTAAGGCCTGCGATACCCAAGCACATCTACCACCCTCTCCATCTCTGGGTATGGAACTTCAAGAAGAAACAGAAGGCTCAACAACCAACCTTCCCTCCTCACCTGCTGCCACCAGAAAACCCAGGTCTCACACCAGTTTTCTTCTTTTTTAAAAACCAGGCTTTAGATCCTTTTTCCCTTTCTAGAGATGAGAGCTGAGACATGTTGCAGAAGTCACTACCGGACTGGATGAAAATGTCGAATATGGGTTTTTCATTTTCCTTCGAAGTAGCCAGCATTGCCTAACTTTTTCAAAGTGTCTACTCTGGAGCTTTTATATTTGAAAACTACCTAGACGAAAACATTCCACCAAAGGAGATGCATATATGTATATACATAAAAAGAAAAAAAAACACACACCCCCAAACAGACTCCCAAACTTGCCCTGGAGATGTGCCGTCTAAGAGCCCACCGAGGCAGGAGCTGTCCCATCAGCCCCCTCTCGGGGTGGGCCTCACTTACTTCTCAGGCTCCCCATGCTGGGCGCGGGGTGGGTGCGTGGAGGCAGCGTGCTATGGCAGGGTGGGGTCGTGCTGAACAGAATGTCGTTGGGCAGGGCTTGGTCCAGGATGGAACTTCGAGAGCTGGCGAAGGAGGAGCCCCTCCTGTTGCTGCATATGCTCTCATCCGACAGCGTGCGGTACAGCGACCTCCTCGGAGACAGGTTCCCGTAGAACGAAAACTAGGGTTTGGACGAGAAGTGGAGGTGGGACCGCCGGTAAAACACTGGAAGTGAGGAGTGTGTGGCGTGCCTAAATCCAGCGGTTTTGTGTACTGCTGAGATAGCGTCTTTGGGTTTTCCCCAAGAGCTCAGGAACACATCAGGCACACAGGCCATCAAGGAAAATGCACCAGGGCTTCAGTGCGGTTATTGGATTTTGTGTTTTTCTCCTCTGACATTCTGTGAAATATTATCACAAATTAGACATGCACCGCTTTATTAATTCTGAAATGTTAAATGAAATCTCCATAACCTTACAGCAGTGACAGCTCCTGGAATCATATAAGGCTGCCATTTTAGGCAACAGTTATTCAAAACCACACATGGTACTGTCTTGATTTTAATTTGAAATGACTACATTTTAATATTAGGCAATTTTTGTACCACTCAACCACATGTGAGATTCAATCTAATCTAAATAATAATAAAACTAATTTTGAACACCGAAGCTTTCAGGGTCATAAAAACAGGTTTAAAAAATGGTGTTTAAGTTCAGTAAAATCTTCCTTAGAAGTATCACTTGCAAAAGTCTGTTTAAAAAATGGTATAAGTTCAGTAAAATCTTCCTTAGACAACTGTTGAGAATTGAGTTATAGTAATAGATCATAACCAGATTTAAAGGAATCATTAAAATCATTGTGTTAAGTCAGACAGGGTAAGAAAGATTCTTATGCAAGAAGCAAGTAGTCAAATATTCAAGAGAAGTTGAATCAAACCTGAATTTCCAACTACTTCCTTTGTATACTGAATCATGTTCCTTTTACATGAACAACAGTAAAAGCCAGAACGTTCACATCAAACAAATAAGAAATGCTATTTACATTTGTAAATGTAGTAAGAAGGTTAAAAACATTCCTATTGTGTGTGTTCCTTTCATTCTGTCAAGTCTTTCCACCTGATGAATTGTGACTGGAATGTGTGTGAGCTACAAAGTTAAATTTACACTATGAAAAGGCAGCGATTTGTTTTAGGAAAAAAAATGTCAAGGAGAAGTTCCTTCCTTCAAAAGAAAAGCTATTTGTACTCTTTGTACAATATGCTGCTTTTGCACCCAAGCTTATACAGTACCACATACATGATGTGATACAAGTTTTAAAAAAGACTCACTATGACAGTTCTTATGGGATTCTCTCATCACACACTACCAGCAGCAGGTTTCTTCAGAACTTGATTACAGCATGTTAGACTAAAGCAGCTTTGAGGTAGTGTCTAATCAGAGTATTGTCCTAAAAACACAGTGAGGTTAATTGCAGCGTTGTTTCACCAGGAGACAGAAGCACACAGATGGTCAGTGCGGCAGGACCTGATTTCTTTCCCTTTTTATGTGAACAAGAGGAAATGCTGGATTCGGGGTGAGAGACAGGGATTCCCTTCCAGAATCTGGCAACAACTATTTATGTGGACTTCACATTTCACCGTCTGGGGCCCCAATCACTTGCAAAAAAGTGTGACTGGATTAAACCGCCTGTGAGTCCCTTCTAATATTTTGCATTACTTAACAAAGTGCTGTAAGAGGCTATAATAACAATGAAATGAAAGCTAACAACAATAAGCAATCTTACATTATCAAGGGAATGAGGAAGGTATGCCACTGAACAAGGGGTCGATTTGTAAGATTAAAGCACGGCCTTCTCTGCGATCCCTGCGTATCTTTAAATGGCAGTGTGCAAGTTCCAACCCTATGTATAATGCCCAGCAAGAGTGTCATGTCTGACTCCAGTCCACTTCCCGAACAGGATCACATCTAAGGTGAGGACAGTTTGGAGCAGTGCAGTGACTACAGCTCCAGAACGCTGCTCAAGATCACAAGTTCGGTCCAGGGACTGTACGAGGCTCCTCATGCACTGCCTCCTATCCTTGCTCTCATTCACCATTCTGTTACTATGAGCTCCTTTTTTTGGCGGGGACACTGAGGCCAAGAGGCCAAGTCACTTGCATAAGGTCACGCAGTTAAACAACACCAGAGCCAGGATTTGACTTTTAGTTCTATTCAAGACAAAAAAAAAAAAAAACACCTCCCTTCATAACTCTCCCAGGATCCCTTTGCTTACTGACAGACTAAAAAGTGGAAGTGGCCAGCTATGCACTGAGTTGTTGGTAGAGTCATGAGAGATGATGCGTGTGGGAGTGCTCTGGAAACTCTTGAGTTTATACTTTTTAAAAAGTATTTCCGGTAACTTCAAAGCCCCAAAAGTCACTCACCTTTCTTCTCCCCTCCTCCACTAAGGGGCTGTCAGGAAGCATCAACTTCAGAAAATCTTCTTTCGACAGAACATGTTGAGTCTCTGCAACAGCATCTCCCACTACTGTCTGATGCTGAGGTGCTGTGGACATGACATCCATCTCACTATACATCCTGCCCAAACAGATCAGAATAGAAATTAAGCCTATTTGTGAAGTGTCTATAGCGGCAAGAATTAAAGCCTAGTAACCACTTTCAACAACCACAAAAGCATACACACGATTCCTAATTCTTAAGTCAGTTCGCTTTTGTAGCATTGGCTCCAAATCCCCATGCCAGTTCACATTTGCGAAATGAGCTCAACTACAAAGTTAGATTTCTGAATAACTCAGAAACAAATCAGATCCCCAAAGCTCAGGATGAAAAAAAATATATATAGCCAACTTTAAAAATAAGGCTGTGCTTTCCCTTTCCTAATCTGTGTCAGAAAACACAGTTTCAATAATTCATCAGAGCTTATCATCTGTCTTTAGAAGCGACCCCCATGCTTCTCAGAAACTTGAGAGAGCCTTTCTCTTGATGCTGGACAACCACACCCCCAATGGCACCCAAGCAACGGAAAGTCACCCGAGGGAGCCTAAGGTTTAAGAGTAATCAATTCAGGCATGTGCCAAGCATGTTTTATCATCAGCAATTTCACAAAGCTGTTTGTATAAATAAAGCAGCTGTCTCCCTTAATTATCAGTATATGAAAATGTATTTATAGACAACAAAAGACTGTCAAGCTGAATTATTGTTTCCAGTCCCTCTACAGGGAGAAAACTGGGGAGTCACTCTAAAAAGGTTTCCTCTGAAAATGCAATCTGAGCAGCCACACATTCCCGAAGACAGAGTCAGTGACTGGAGACACTTGGTCTTTGCCACGCAACCTGAAAAATAACACTCTAGGAATTCATGCTCACGGCAACACGCTACAGAGAATGACCTGAATGTCATTGTCGTGTGCCTCTGAGATGGCTCTTTATTTCAAAAGCAAGACCATCTTGTCACTGTATGACAGCTCACTGGGAAATTACTAGAATAAGAAATGCACACAGGCATGCTCAAAATTAAGAATGATTTATCCAGAAACCTCTATGGCTTCTGCTCTGTTCCCAGGGTTGGACAGGCTTCCCATATCCTTCTGTTCTTGAAGCACAGCTATACTGACAACATGCACAAGCAGGGTTGTGAGAAAGATGCTTCTCAAAGCCTTTAAAACATGACTGAAGATCTGGCTGGTTTTGGATGGCACAATAGGAGAATGGGACTCCCCAAAGAAAATTAAGACTTCTGAGAGCTTTGCACAAAAGGCACACAAGGAAAACCACAATGCGGTTTTCACAAAGAGTGAGCCCCAGAAGGACCCAACTTCTGATCCTGAGAGTTGGCACTGGGAGGTAAGTGCTCAAGCGCTCCAGACTCCCAGGGCTTTGGGCAAGATGCAGGGCAGAACCCCAGGTCTTACCAATAACTGTATGGACAAAAATATTATGCCTATACTTATGACCACATTGAGCTGCTCTAGTTTCTATGCGTTTAAATAAAAAATCACTCGTTTTCTCTGCTTAATTTGTAATAATAATAAAAAAACACCACAAAACTTGTCCAATAATGTGTCAGAAACAGAATTTACTCTGTGCCACTCTACTGAAGTAACCAGCACATAGGCTTACAGAGGACGCCCAGTCTGGGTGCTGTGTATGCACACACGTGTGCATGGTAGGCTGGGATGACCAACCGAGTAGGAAGTCATTGTGGAAAGTGCTGGGCAGGAGGCAGAAGGAACAGCATAGCTGGCGACACAGAAGCCTGGTATAGAATGGCTCCTTTGCTTCTGCTATTTTACAACATGAAACAAAAATAATCAGTAAGGCTCCTACAATGTGATTTTTAAAAAATAACTGGCCCATGCGAAAGTTCTCCTGGAAAGCACAACTGATTTTCTCTGTCGTGCACAATGAAACACTCTCATTGTTTCTCATTTCTGTAACTCTCAGTGTACAAATATGCTGTACTCGGCCAACTGTTTTCTAAGCATATCTTTCAGTGATCTAGTAATACACTGTTTTTTTCCCCTTTATTTTAAAGATGTGGGGTACAATTCAGGGTTAGGCATGCAAATGTTTGTTATGCAGGTACCCAAGTTGATGAGGTATGCCCCTCCCTCCCCTGGCAGTTTCCCTCAACTGCCAATCCCACCTTCCCCTTCCCTGGCAGTTTCCCACTACTGCTAATCCCTTTCTTATAGGAATACCCTGTTTTGATAAAACTTCAAATATAGTTAGCACAGTCCTGTACGACCCCCTTGCCTTGGAAACACTTTGTACTGCCTGCTACCCCGACAGAATGAGCTGGCATGGCGACCAGGCGCTCTGGTCTCTAGTCCTAAAACTAACCTCTTAGGGTAACCACTTTAAGCTCAAATCCTCCCCATAAAATGAGAATTAGGACTGAGGAACTTCTACAGCCCCTTTCCTCTGAGGTGCGCCCAAGGACAAGGATGGGGGTTCCCCTCCCCACCACAGGCATCAGCCAGAGTCCCCAGATGAAAGACTCCAGCAGGGACATGGTCTGAGTCTCCTCTGATGTGCAACTCAAACTGCTGTCCAGAGATGCAAACCTCCTCATAACATCCTGACATTGCCTCTCTTTCAGTCACTGTCAGTGCCATCCAACCAGTGTGTGGAAATGCATCGACCCTGGGCTTCTGTATAAAAACTGTCCAAATGAGCTTCTTTCACACTGCCTGATTCTCCGGGAGAGCCTTTCGCCTAAACATCGTGCTTACAGTGACATACAAAATGCTTCTAAAAGTATTTCACAGACCCTAAGAAAGGTTTGGGATGAATTTCTGTGAAGTACTCAGAAGACTTATTAGACAGAAATATCAAAGTATCACTCTAACATTTGCATTTATAATAAATTGGTATGGCTATCACCATGACTTCCTAAATAAGTCATTTGCAGTTACTGACATGATGTTTTTTAAAAAAAGATTCCATGTTCTGTTTTGGCACTGAAATACTTTTTAATTTAGAAGGAAGTATTGTATAAACTGTATTTAAAAATATGGGATTATTATTATTATTTTTTTTTTTCTGAGTTGGAGTCTCACTCTATCGCCCAGACTGGAGTGCAGGGGCTGCTCCCGGCCACCGCAGCCTCCACCTGCTGGGCTCCGGCGATCCTTCCGCCTCAGCCTTCCAAGTAGCCGGAATTACAGGCACGCACTACCACGCCCGGCTGATTTTTTGATTTATGGTAGAGATGAGGTCTCGCCGCCCAGGCAGGTCTCGAACCCGCGGGCTCAGACAATCCACTCACCTCAGCCTC